ACCTATAGTTGAAAGATACATCATAAAGATGCCAAATATCGGCTCTCTTTGATAAATGCAAAAGTTTCATTTTGATAGAAGATCTCAAGATAAAGTTACAAGCTGCCTTCCCAAAATTAACATCCTCATGATAAAAAAATTTGTGTTCATACATCATGAGGAGGAAATGCTATTGCTGCAAGATGTAGTAATCTAAGAAGGAATGCATACGTGAGCAAGGACAATTAATTTTACAAATAACATGGGTAAAATATAAAATCTGCCCACACACACCAAATACACTGTTTCTCGGGTAATTCACCCAACATGCTCTGCTCTTGACATGAAAATGAATTAAGAATTTGTGTATATAAGTTCAAGAAAAATGTAACTTACTAAGTTCAGCAAAATAAGGAGTGTGCTTTAGCATAAAGTTAGTGTTCTCGCATACCTACATCTATGCATATCCGGGTACATACATGTCTTTATAAAAAATTTTAAAAACAACTTTAATAAGTTTCCTCCAAGCAAAATATCAATTAATCCTCAACCAACAGTAAATTACATTTAAGACCACATTGATTTCAGTACAACATCAAACTGAACTCATTTTCCATTTCACCTAAAAAGAACTGTGTATTGCTTACTCCCATTAGTTTAACCACTAGAGACAGGATACAAATATATAGGCAACCAAAAGGATATTAAACGAAGGGCAACAACACCTACCTCAAGAGCTTTTGCATAAGAGTTAATAAAAAGTTGAGACTTCCCAGCTATTGTGCATGCATGCTGCCTCAAGTATCGACTTATCTCCATCTGCCACCAAAGGCAAGTTTTAAATATCAAGATCCAAAATTATCTTAAAAAATTCTTAAAATTTTCACTAGTTATTACAAATACATACATCTATCGCACCACCTCCAGCAACTACAGTAGAGTTCTTCAAAGCTCTTCTAACAATCATAATTGCATCATGTAAGCTTCTCTCAGCTTCTTCAATAAACTGAAAATAATAATAGACATAATCTCCAGTATCAGAATGAAAAGCGATACACATTAAGAAATGTCACTGGTTAAAATATGAAAGACCTGATCAGCTCCACCACGAAGAACTAAAGTGGCTGTCCGTCCTGATGGGCAACCGCTGAATATATTAAACCTCTCATTTCCAACCTGCCTTTCCTCAAAAATCCCACATGTCCCTAGAACCTTCAAACCAAACAAAGAAGAAATTTAAATTCAAGAAGTTCAAAAGAAGGAAATTGAACAGTTTTTGACGGTGTAAACTTGAAAATGTGAAGGTTGGATGCATTTCCAAATAAATATAATGTGAGTTGCAACCTCATCAATTATGTTGTTAACAGATGTCTGTATGGTTCCACCAGCTGCAGCAGCAACCCGATGAAGATCTTCCTCAGCTACACGACCAGCACAAAAAATATCTCTATCTGCAAAATACTGTCAACAAACACACATTCATGTCAATAAAAGATGAGAGAGAGAGAAAAGAAAATACTAGTCATAATTACTAACAAACATTTCAAAATTCTAATCAAAAGTATCAATTGAGATAAAATAGGATTAGGAATTGGAAAGAAGTAATTAAGTATGAATTATAAAGTGTTAATATCAACATGGACATGGCTACATTATCTTCTTACCAATGCCCACCATAAGCACTCATGCAAGCAGGTAACAAAGCAACCAAAGTTAAAAAGGGCATAGGTCTTTCATAGTCACCGAAAAAATGTATTTTGACAACCATAACAATGTATTAACTCAATTTAGTCACGAAATAACCATAAAAGGAAAATGTGCATCTACAATAGTTAAAGAGACCGGGCAAAGAAATACAAATGTAGTATCAGCAATAAAGGAAAAATCTCATACCTGTGTCGCCAGATCACCAATAGCCAACCGTGAAAGAACAACTTTTGCACCACTCTTCACGCATTTATCCAACTTGTCATAAATGATATTCCATTCTGCATCAACAATTGATTGATATTGTGATGGATCTGAAAGTCTGGAGCATATAAAACAAAAGTTAGAGTCACCAGCCACTTATGAAAACATAATTCAAATCAAAGACAGCTAAAACTCCTACCTTATCTCTGCATTTTCTTTTTCAGATTTCAGTTCCAACTCAATGTTTAACAAAAGAATCTTGGGATTCAGAAACTTCTTTGGCTGCTGTTCAAAACCTGCATATGAAAATGTCTTTTTAAAGGCAACACCATTGACCAAAAAGGAGTCACGCATATTACCACCTGGAACCTATGAAAAAAATCCAAAAACATTAATCAATTTGCTATCTGACACAATGATAATTAATACAAGTAGCAAAACAGAAAACCTGATGGGCATTTTCTTAGCATTCACAAGTCAAAGGAATCTCATTTTAGAGGCAATGCCACAATCATAATTAGTACTACAATATTTCAAGCAAAAAGGGAATTCCACCACCCCAACCTTCTCCTACACCTTCAAACTCTTAGCCACCACCTTGGATTCATCACTTGATATTAGTCATTAGTTAAATAAATTCATGGATCAGACAATCAGCAGTTACCCTCCCTATGAATCAACCACAAATTATATCACTCTTGCACACCAAAAATTCACCTTCCAAAATGGAAGCAAATCCAAAGGGAATCAGCTAGCTCAATAACTTTAGCAATAATTAAAATAGGCTGAGGTTACAGGCTAGACTTCTATTCCTTTTATGTTAAAGCTGCCTTCCAGCCTGTAGTACTAGAAGTGATTTGAAATTAAATTTTTTTTTTTCTTCTTACATAAGAAAGCACATATTTCATCAATTGAAGCTTATGTCACTTCATATCTAGCCATAATTGCATTGTCGGAGCTTTCAGAAACTGATTGTATTATGAACCCAAAATGGACATCTATAAAGTTAGCTTCCCCAGATTTTGGATCTTACAAAAGTTTATCCAAAAGAATATAATCAAATTGATGCCCACCTCATTTCGTAAACATACCATTGCAACATTTACACTCACATGATACTAAAACACCAATGGTAGAGAGTCTACATATAAAGAACAGCCAAGTGCTACACTCAGCTGGAACAGTAAAATAGTGCAATATGACAGACGTTGGGTCCAAAGCGTATCATTTACTAGATAACAAAAATTATGTGATCTTTTCAAAAGATCCAAGTGAAAATATCAGAAAAAAGAAAAAGGCTAAAAAGAGTGAAAATAAGCCATGAAAAAACAGGAGTCTACCTTCTTAATTCCAATCATATTCAACCTATCATCATTGCCAATAGTAATAACAGCATCCACAACCATTGATGCAAAGAACTCCTTTTCTCCACCAATGAGTTTTGAAGAGAGAGTTGTTGCAGCACATTTAGCTAATAAGCTTTTCTTCTCTTCTAGACTTTTTCCCTCTATACTAACAGCTAGTTCTTTGATCTTCTCAATTGCCTGTCCATTGAGTACAACATTCAACACAAATAGATGCATAAAGACCAGCGCAACAACTAAACCATGAGAAGGGGAAAAAACACAAACTCACCAAATAGCAAGCAGTTCGATAACTCCGAATAAGATTTTGAGGGTGGACTCCATCCTCAATTAAAGGCTTGGCCTCTTTTAAAAACTCTCCTGCTAGTAGTACAACAGTTGTAGTTCCATCACCAACCTACAACACATAAAAAGCTATCTAAATCCTCTAAATGGCATGAAAAAACATTGGATCTTGATAACTCTATGAGATTCGTGCCGTACAGACAAAAACCAACTCAAACTTAAAATCTCAGTTTAACAATGAAAACCCAATGTTCAAGTAACTATTAAATTCTACTTTAACTAAGAGTTGAGAAATGATTTGGAATCTACAACAAAAAGAAAAAAGAAGAGGGGAAAGGGTGACCTCGGAGTCCTGAGACTTGGCGATATCAACGAGGATCTTGGCGGCGGGGTGAACAATATCGAGAAGCTTCATGATGGTGGCACCGTCGTTGGAAACGGTGACGTTCCCTTTTTCATCGTGGATGAGCTTGTCCATGCCTCTGGGACCTAGGGTTGTTCTAACCATGTCAGCTACGGCGGTGCAAGCGTTAATGTTACTGACTAGCTGCGCCTTCCCCTGGGACGTATCGGTCCCTTCTTTTAAAAGAATAATTTGGGGTTGCTGCAAACAGAAAAAGAGAAGCAGATTTAGTAGCAGTTAAAAAAAGAGATTTAAGATGTTAAGAAAATAAGTGTGGGAGAAGTTACCAGCATGGCCGCCATTGTTGCTAGGGTCCTGCTTGTTGGTTTTAGGGGGAACAAAGGAGCAGAGTGAGGGAGAGAGGAAGAGTGTTCGTTCTCCTTTTCTGTCCAAGTGCAGTGTAGAATTGAAATGAAAATGAAATGGCGTGTTTCAAATTTTTCAGGATTTGGGTATTGGGCCTTGGACAGTTTTTGTCTTTGGTCGAAACTGGCTTTTCCTTTTCTTGTTTTTTTTTTTCTTTTTTTTTTTTCATTCTCTTTCCTATTATCTTTACACGCGTTTGGTTGGCGAAAAAAAGTTTTTTTTTTTTTATTTGAAATCTTATTTTTGGTAATTTAAACGAGTTCAAAACTAATTTTAGTTTCGTCCTTTGACCCCTTTAGAAAAATGATCCTAAAGAATTGTTTACCTCCAATTTTGTTCAACAATGAGTTTCCTTTTCTGTTTCAATCTTGCATTGTGATATTATCAATTAAAAAATATTATCAAAATCTCAAAAATAAACAAAAAATCACACTAATAAAAATAAAATAAGAACAAGATAATGCAGTAAATTTTTTTTAGTCCACGAGAGTTTAAGAATAAAAAAAATTTATTTTAAAATCAAAACAGACCGTAAATTTTAAAAGAGATTTACACCAAATTTATAAATTATCTGGAGGTATGATGGTTAGTAAATTTAATACTAGCTAGTAGTTTTTACAGAAAATGTTATAGCGGACAACATGCATCGTTTACATTAAAAAGAAAAAAAAAAAAAACAATTCAATTCTCAATATAAGAAGAGTGATTATTCATGCGAATTAAAGCAAACAACGGAGCAATTATGTCAATCAAATTACAAAATAGAGGATTAATACAATTTGCTAAGCCATTTAAGTTTGGGCTTGTCGAAGATGCGACAACAATATGTAGAAATCAGCATTTCAATCAGAAGAGGGAACTGTAACAATGCAAAGAAAGCAATTGGAACGGTTGAAAGAATGATGACTGGAATTGAAACCCAAGCCAAACGTTCCTGGAGGGTAACGAAAATGGCAGAGGCAAAGGCTATCATCATGGTGACTATAGAGAAGAAAAGAGTAAAAAGACCAAGTATGGATTTTGCAGGCAACGAATGAAGGAAATCTTTCTCTGAATAGTGGGACGTCAAAACTCCTAAGAAAACTAAGACGGAAGTAGAGGAAGAAAAAAGGGAGAGAGAATTCGCGATGACGAAAACCAAAAATGCATTGGATCTTAGGAAAATTGGGGCGCCTGTTTTCTCGTCGTTACCCCCTGGAACTGTGAAAGCTGATGTGAACATGACTGCAGCGATGAGAGTAGCCACAACCATGCAGGATGCTGCATTGTTCTTCATCCATTTCTCCCCTTCTTTGATCAGCTCCTTGTGCTCATGAGAAAATAATGATGCTGGAGTTCTGTTGTTTTCGTTTAATTCTTCCTCAAATTTTGGTGGTAGAATCTGCCTCAACTCCTAATCAACATTCATCAGAATACCATTTTTTATCAATTATGAATTCATTTGAAATAATAATGTATATACAGTATGAGATAGGACCATTGTCTATCCTATATATCACCCTTGAAAATTTTAAACTTCACTTGCAAATTTAAATGCATATCGAGTAAGTGTTTATGTAATTGTATGTGCATCTAGTTACACGGACTCGATATATGCATTTAAACATACAATTGTTGAGTTTAAAAATTTCACTGTCAAAATCAAATAAAATAAGCTTTAGAAAAAAAAATATTAATGTTTAGAAAATATATCACCTCAAACCATTGTAGCTCCCTTTGCATTTGCAGGGCGGCTCCAGAGAAACGATCAAGTCGAGAGGGAGGGGACAACTTGGCCGCTAGGTGTAAAAAATTATTACGAAAACTATCATGTCGAATCAACGATATGCGCTGCTTTGAGCCCAATCTGAAAACATGGTTAAACATCTTTTCTTGGCGTAGAACAATTGCATTTGCAAAAAGAGTTCGACCCTTTTTGTCTTTCCTCCATATAATTTCGGGATAGAGTTTTATTATTTCATCAATAAACTCAATCATGCCATGCTTGATAGCATCGTAGATTGCCTTATCCAATTCAATTTTTTCCAATTGCTTGTTTTCTAAACCCGATATCTCCTTAATTATGAGTCTGAGGAGTTCCAGGGCTTGATCATGTTTTAACTTTGCATCGTGGATGCGCTTAATATCAGGGACTGCAAATTGAAGGAAATTATAAAGCAAATATTTGTATAAGGATCAGCAAAAACAACAACAAAGTACAAAATTTTTAATCTGAAACTTAATTAAACTGATTTATATAATCATTTTTAAAATACGATATCTAATAAATTTGATATGAATATCTTAATATATCTACTAAATTTGATATGAATATCCTAATTGCGATCGTTTCTCTATTTTTTAAACTGTAATTTTTTTGTATAAAACAAAAAAGTGCAAAAGTTTTCATTAAGGAGATGTTTGCTGCGTACCTAACCATTTTATAGGCTTCCAAGCAAATTTGATTAGCGAACCAAGCACTGCAAGAAAAGGTTAAATTTGGCTCCAAACTTACTAAAATAAATAAAATAGTTGATTAAAGAAAATATCACTTTCAAAATAGGGGAAAATTTTTCAAAAACATGTGAAATTAATTGTATATTTCAACATATATATACCATCACTTGGACCCCGTTTGTGCCTTGTCATGCTCTCTTCATCACCCTGTGGTTGACCATCGGTTAGTTTCTCACCTTCTAATTCTATTTTTGATATCTTTATACCTGCAAAAAACAGTTTCATAAGCTCATCACATTTTCCATCAATTATAATACATATATATATATATATATATATATTCATGGATTACACTTTTTAGGCATGCTTAACATTTCCTACAAGAGCATAAACTGTACCTTTCAAATAAAGTTATAAATATATGTAATTTTTTTTTTTTTTTTTACAAATGAAAACCACAATCTAAAAATAAAAGAAAAAACTGTAAGTGTTGAAATTTAAATTTCAAATAAATAAATATTATTTCTTAAAAATAATTATATATATAAATTGGATTAAATTTTGAATTCAAATATTAATAATTGATAAAGATCGAAGAATACTTTATTTTTACATAGCTTGAACCTTGCGCATGACTAGTTATTATGAGAATCAACAAAAGTTAACTTGTCAAAAGAGGCCTGATCAAACTTGAAACCGACCATCTTTATGAAAAAATAATAATAATAAAAAGGCCTAGTTGGAAATAAAAGAAAAGGATTGAAAATGTATGTGTGTATACTTACATGAGTCGTAGATCCAACTTTTCCAAAATACGAAACTGCTTCCACTCCAGAATGCTGATGGTTTATGGGCCAACAACTTGATGGCATAATTCCTGTTTTTATCTTCCGTAACCCCAAGTTTTGGATATGATTTTAGCAAACTTAAAGCTAAATCTACAGCAAGACCAAAACAAAAAAAACATATAAACCAGAATTAATCTCTCAGTACTATGCTGTATAAATTGATGCCATTAAATTAAAAAGAAACACAACTAAAGTGACACTAAAGCCTGAGCTAGCTTGAAAATGGGGGTAAAAGATTTTGAAATTTAATATTTTAAGGTTAACTTTAATAACATTACTAAATATTCAATACTTCGTTAAAATTTTATTACTTGACTGAAGTAATCTATAGAAAAATATTTATACTTGAATTTATTTAGAGGAGTTGATGACAAATACATGAAAAAAAAATTATTTTATTAGTTATGATAATTGAATTTTGTTCATTTGGTTTTTAAGGTTAATGAATATAATTATAATTAATGAAATAAAAGTTTATAGTCTTAGATCTATGCATCGGATCCAGAATTTAAGAAACTCAAAAGCTTGTTTCAGTATTATCTAAAATTTTTATAAAATTCGAAAGTATGGGTACTTTATATAATTTTGGGATATTATATTAATTTTCAATCACAATGCAATAGTAAAATGAAAAAAAAAAAAAAGAAGAGGATTTTCTTCAAGGATCCAAATAAGAAAACTCACCAAAAATCCCATCAGCAATGAGTGAATTGAGAAGTGTGGCACCACTTCGGTCTTCATTTTCTGGTTTTAGTATTTCCTTTGGAGTGATGGAGTAAAGATAGCGAACCATGCCCTTGGCACTAAACAACGAAGCCACAACCACTGGGAGCGCCCCATGTGAATTCTTCACCCTGGGCAAGTTGGGATTTTTCTCCACCATAGCCCTCACCATCTCGGTGGATTCGTTGATCGTAGCAATGGAAAAGGCCGTTTCCCCCATGTCGTTTATGAGTTCCAAGTCATCTTCGTCCATTCTCCTCACCAATTCCATCACTATCTCATCTTTTCCGGCGAGAACAGCGACGTGAAGGGCGGTGTCACCTTTCAGTGTAATCTTTTTTCTCACGGCAATTGGTTTGATGCCAAGGAACATTTTCACAATCCCCAAATCTCCCTTTTCAATTGCCCTGTAAAGGTCATCATACTGGAACACATCTGATTCCCCTGCAATGTAAGTATTTCTTTCTCTGCTATTATAATAAATCCAAACCTAAAATCAAAGTCATGTTATACGAACTCTTCACTTTACTCATATAATTTTTTATTTTAAAACTTAATAATTTGAATTCAAAATGATTTCAAGAGGTTATCCGAACATGAAATCACTTTATCATTTTTTCAACCTAAAGTGAAGCCAATTTTACACCTAAATCATGACTCCATGTAACATACAGTGGCGGATCCGAAAAGTAAAAGTTTGAAATAATATATTATTATATTATTATAATTGTTTATGATGAGTGTTTATCTAAAAAAATGTAATTGCTTCATTATCAACACTATCAAATAAATTTTATTCACTATATCTAATTAAACAATTATTCAACAAGAATCATTGTTAATATTATCAAAAAAAATTTCAATAAATTTATCAATTTTATTAATGAAAAATTTATTCAGTTTTAGTGTAACGAATAAAATGTATATAATTTATTACCTTCATTGAGTAACAAGCCACAACCTTGTGGCGGTGGTGCTGAAAGCTTTTCCGCCAACCGATCCCAATGGTATTTGGCTGACTCGTTTCCGCCAAATTTGGCAATGGTGTCAACCCCGCATGAGATTTGAATTGCATGTAATGCCTTTGCATTTCTTTTAACCCAGGAATCGTATTTGTTTTTGTCACATTTTTGTGGTTCATTTTCATCTCCACACACTACGCCCCAAAGCCCTTCGGATATCAAATAGCTTTTCAAACAATTCTTCCAATTCTCGTGGTTTGCTTCAGTCAGTTTATCACTTACAATGCCTGCAAATGCCATTTTTCCTTCTGAATGACAAAAGATTAAAAAACTATATTTAAAAAAGTCAAAGAAATATATATTATATAATGTCAATAAGCAAATTGGCCTTCAACCAATTAGTTTTCCTTTTTTTTTTTTTTCAATAGTTTTTTGATATTACTTGTAACGTTTTTGGGATAAATGGGCACCACAAATTCAGAAAAAATTTGAAAAACAATCAGCTGGGATCATCTTACAAAACTAATTAATTAATAAGGAATTGAGCATTTATGATCAGGAGAATTAAATTTCTTGTATTTAGATTCAAGCTTAATGTGGACTATATAAGGACAAACTGTGAAAACGCAATGGATAATTAATTAGAAAGAAAATAAGATTTATGATGATACTTACATGAATTTATTTTGCTTCAAATCAACTTATTGCATTGAAAGGTTGATGTGTTTGATTCGGTAAGTGGAATGCATAATGGTGTCTTATATATTAGGGTGGGCAACGGTTTAATCGGTTTGAATTGGATTTGGTTTTTTTGAATAATATATAGCATTATAAATATTAAAATTTGATCTAAATTTAAATTGATTTTTTTTTTAAATTGATCTAATCTTAATCAAATTTTATTAATTTGATTTGGTTCAATTTAACAATTTTTAAAAATTAAAATTTGTTATATATTATTTTAATATGATTTTTAATATATTTAAATAGAATTAGATATAAAATAATTATTTTTATTTTATAAAAATTTAAAAAATATATAAATTAATAAAAATATATCATTTGATTTGATTTGATTTTTTTTTTCACATTTTAATTTAAAATTTGATCCAAACTTAATATATATTTAATATTCAAATTTAATTCAAATCAAATAAAAAAAATTCCAATCTAAACCAAATCAAATTCCATAATTTTTAATTGATTTTCAGTTTTTTCAGTTTCCTTCCCCACCAATATATACCATAACTCAGTTAAAAAGATAACTCTTCTTTATTGTTTTATATCTATTTGTCCTTTCTTTGCTTTTTCCTTTTCTTTATTCTACTTGCCTTGGATACGAGGGCACCATTTCAATTACACATGTAAAAATTATCAGTGGAATATTAATTCATGTGCTTTTTGTAGGATACTTTCCTTTTTTCTTATAAATCTTTGTTAAGTGGCATGCATCCAACTTTGAGTTTAGTGGAAGCAATACTTAGCTTCTCTAGTGATTTTCAACTTATATTTTGTTTAATCACTCATGGCCGCAGCACTCCTCGCACACAAACTATAAAAGAAAAAGAAAATAGAAGAAGAAAAAGTAAAAAGGAATTGCTCAAGTTACTTGTTCCCCGTCGAATATATTTGTTCCTTTTCTTTTCAAAGCCTTTGTATTAAGCTTCTGTTAAAAAGAAAAAATCATCATCAACAAAACTTGAGTTTCTTAAAATTAGATTTGGTCCATAGAATGAGAAAAATTATTGCTAAAAATAAGATAATATTGGATAAACAGAAAATAACTCAAATTTATTGTTATTATTAAAAAGATAAAACAAATTCTCTAACAATATATTTTCTTAAAAATAGATAATGCCAATTTAAGGACAAATATTTTGTCTCTATTAATTTGGACTCATTGGATTACAATTTCTTCATAGGTTTTACTTTTTTGTGATAAAAAAGAAGCAATAGTCTAAAGATAAAGGAAAAGATTGCAAGTGTTAATATTTAAATCATAAATTTGCTAGATGCCATCTCTTATGGGTGGATACTAATAATTCTATGAAATAGAGTTATTTCTAGTACTTAAATGTATTAATTTTTCTTTGTTCCTCGTAAAATAAGGTTATCTATACTTCTAATGTGCTTATTTTGCCTGTGTAGAAATGATGAAGAAAAGATTGAATCTTGGTAATTCTTGAATGATCAATCTTGATAGTTTCTTGGTACATTTGGAGCAATCTTGATAGTTTCTAGCGAGTTATTGATAAATATTGGAATTCTTGGTGAATTTTGTAGTGAAAACATGAGACCCACACCAACTTATGAGATATTATTTGCTTTGACTCGAAAGTCTCATGGTTTTGTCATACAAAAGATATTTCATAGTCTTTACTTATATATCATAATACATTCTTAAAATAACCTAATGCGGAATTAAGGTATCACAAACTCCTCAATTAAAACTTAACGTCCTCATCAAGCCCAACATAAAACACACATAAAACCACAAAATCAATATCACACAGACATTAGGATTCTAGAGGTGACTCCCACGGTCTAGCACTTACCTATAGTTAAACTAGTCACTTTGAAACTATTTGTGGAGACTCGCACCTAACTGACAAGGTATTGTTTACTTTGATTTGAAAGTTTCACAATTTTGTCTTACAAAAGATGTCTTACAAGTATGAGTTTAGATCTCTACATATATAGATAGCAGATCCTCACAATTTCTCAATATGGGATTAAGTTATCACAAACTCCTCTTATTAAAGCTTGACATCCTCATCAAGCTCATCATAAAGTACACACAAAATCATAAAATGAATATCACACTAGACGTTAGAATTCTAGAGGTGGTTGGCACCGTGTAACACTAAACTCTTGTATGACTGATGATTGGTTTGATACCATTTGTTGAGACTCGTATCTAACCTACGAGGCATTATTCATTTTAATCCAAAGGTTTTACAATTTTATCCTACAAAAGAACCTCATAAGTATGGGTTGTCTAACGGTTTTGAGATCGCAAGACGTAAAAATGAGATGTTTTAAAATCGAAAAAAAAAATAAAAAGAGGGAGTCGCCACCAATCTTTGTTAGGGTGTGATTGGCCACCCAAAAGTTTATCTTTTTAATAAAACTATAAAAACGAGTTTAAAGTCTTATCAAAAAGATAAATTTCGGTCTACGAAAAATCAGGTTGGGTCCGGGAGTCGGTTACGCGTGGGAAAAGATTAGCACCCCCACAACGCCCATAAATTGGTACCATTTAATTATGCGCTATTTTCGACGTTGGATAAAAATGGTTTTAATTTGAAATTTAACATTAATTCCCTTCATTTTAAAAATATTTTTGCTAAAATTTTTATTTAGGAATATTGAGAAAATCTTTAAGTTAAAGAATTATCCTGAAATCCTCCAACATCTAGGCAGAATTTGAAATAACTCTTTTCACTTAAGATTTAACACAACAGTCCTTAAAATGAAATAACGCTCTTTATAGAAAATTGTTGGTGACTCTCCAACATCTAGGTAGAGTACCAATAATTATTTTTTGGAATGTTATTTTTATTTTATTTTGTAATATCACAAAAAGATTTTTTTTAGTATTATTTTTTTATTATAAGATATTTTATCACTAAGTAGTAAATAAAAAATTAAAGAGAGAATAGTACAAGTAAATACTAATAATAACATGCTAACGTATATCATGCTAATGAATGTTATGTAAAATGAGATGCAATTTAAGAGTTGGATTCTTAAATATAATGAGATCACCCCGACTCTCCAACATCTAGGCAAAGCTTAGGTGCGACTGTTTATATTTAAGATCCTAATTTACCGTTATCCTTTTTTTATTTATTGATCTTATCATTAATGCGATTTAAGAAATCGTGTGAAAAGACTTCACGAAGTAAAATTTCCTAAATACCCCATCATCTAGGCGGTATTCGGGAACAAATTGCTTCAAATGGAATTTTCATACGTGTCCTTAGGATTTTTTAGGACTTTGGATTTCGAGGATTTTGGACTTTTGGGGGTTTTGGATTTTAGGGATTTTGGATTTTTAGGAGTTTTAGAAACCTATGATTTTGAAAATTAAGAATTAGTGTTTAAGATTTCGTTTTTAAGAAAATACAAACATCTCTAAAAATCCTTAACATCTAGGCGGATTTTCGAAGCAAGTTCGATTTTAGTGATTTTTGAAAATTAATTTAAAAATTTTTTTATATTTATTTTTTTTATGAAAATTTATTAATAATAATTCCCCAACATCTAGGTGAAATTATTTCTTTTAAAAAAATATTTTTATTCCCTCCAACATCTAGGCAGGGAAAATAATAAAAATTATTTTTTTGAACATTTTAATATATTTTAATTATTATTTGTTTTCAATTTTATTATTATTAACATAATTAAACACTTATTCTAACAAATTTATCATGCATAAATATAAAAAAATAACAAAAATAATAATATAAAAAAATAAAAAATTCAAAAAAAAATTTTGTTTACCTGAACCGGATCAATCAACACTGGTCCGGGCGGTCTAACCGGTTCAGCAGTTGGATCGACGGTTCGGGCAATCTGACCGGTTCAGTCCGATCCATTGGTGGTTCATATGAACCGATTCAAGGCTGGTTGGTATGAGTCGTCGAGTCGGGTTACGCGGATCTCGAGTCGGGTTTGAGTCAATGCGTGGATCCTTCTTTGGTTAAAACGACGTCGTTTTGGGCTTTTATTGAAACGACGTTGTTTTGGCTAGTGACAGTTTATATAAAAGTAAAAAAAAAATTTTTTCGTCATTTTTTTTAATCTTCAGAAAAAAAATAGCTTTTTTTTTTCTCTTCTTCTTCAGCTGCACGCCAGCCGACCGTCGGTACTGCTGTCGTTCGTCGGTCACCGGTGGTCGAAAAAATCCCAAAATTCTCCCACAAACTCTTCTCGACATCCTAAGTGCAATCTGGCATTCTTTTCACCAAACACGGCCTTGATTCGCGTAGATAGGGTTTTGAAGTTTTCGATAAATTTTTTTTTGTGTCGAAAACTAACTGGTACCTTTCTTTGTTGGTGCAGGTGGCTCGGCGCTGAGGTTCCTCCTTACGGGGAGGACTGTGATTTCATTTTGGTTTTTGTTTCTATTTTTTTTTTTACGTTTTTTTTTCTTTTTCGGCTAGATGGTGCTCGTGTATTTTGAGGGGGGTAGCTGTGTGTTTGAAAATGGATTTTTTCTTTTTGTTTCCGAGAGCTGACCAATCCCCAATGAGGAAGATGGTTGGGGATTTTAAAGGGTTTCTATTTAAGGGAAT